GCCGTCTAACACTAACGGCGCTGACTGAGACAGCCAAAAACTATCTGGCAGCGCAGTATCGAGCAAAGATGGCAGCGATGATGGCGACGAGATGACAGTGACGACAAGACGAATCCAATCCCAGAACCGGCAGCCTCGAGCTACCGCTCTCAGCTCCTTTTATCCTGCCAGCGTGGCCTGGCTTGTGCGCAGTTGCGTATACAGTACACAACTTCCCTGAAGACATACCTTCAGCGAGCACGATGCCGATCACACACGGTTCGAATTCGACCCTCGATCGATGGCTGTGCCATCGCCGCACACGCGTCGAACAAAAAGCAAGGGACAAGTCCTTACTTACTAACAGCTCCTATCATTTTTCATTGCTGGAGGGGTTGCCCCCCCTACCTGAAAATCCTGGCTCCGCCATTGCTCCAGACGGGTTCCTCCGTGACCCTTGCGCTAGTTCCTCTGCCCTGCCAACACACCCGTGCACACCCTTACTGGCTTGTGTATTGTTTGTCCACCACAGTTGCCGCTGCTGCCCACTAGCCGGCGCTATTACACTACACATATATAGAATACTGCAGGCTAGAATCATCGAGCAATCGTGGCATATACTCACATATATATCATTGAGACAGTGCTTTAATTGTTTTATGGCATTCTTTTGGAGGTATAATTGCATGAATCTGAAAAAACACAATGACAATTTCTAGTGCTGTGTTGTTATTTTAGCAGCCAGAATATATTCAAGAATATATATACTTTACACACAGAGCGAGATAATGGCACAATAACTGCATCATTAAACAGACCACAGTAAAGCAGTAAAACAACAGCTACTTTCACACACATATACTGTAATTAAAAGGAATACAATGTCAAATTAAAGAGTGTGCAGTCTTATTTGATAATAACACATACTAGCAAATTGTTCATATGAATAATTCAATGTTAAATGTTGTGGCGTTTCTTGTACGAATTCACAGATACAGAAATAACACCTGCCATTATTTACAACTATTTTATGCGAATTTACCAATGATAAGTGGATTGTTTTAAAACGATTCTTGTTGTAGTATCAGGAATGAAATTAGTAATTTCCTACTGGTACTTATATTTCATTTAAAAAAATGTCTATGTCTATTCAATCCAACCTACATACTTGTTGGTGATATTCAATGTTAATTAAATTTCAAGGCATTTTAATACCACATTTTATAGAAGCAGTGTATTTGAACGTTCTTGGGTGTGTTTTCATCTAGTACATTGGAATTTGTGAATGCGTACAAACCAAGCAGGATGAAACTTGACTGCCAGATGAATCATAAATATACCTTCAAGGGTATGGGACAAAGGGAAATGTATGCAAAGTGGCCCTATTGGGTAGTTGCAGCCTTGAACTCAGGAAACATATGTCTTCATTTGGTCAAACCATTCACAGCTATCATATTCTCTGGATTCTAAGATGCTCCAGAAAGTAAGAAACCCAAATTTGCCCTCTTTGTCAAGTTCGAAAATTACGTCACACCCAAACACCTCCCGAATCGGACATGCCCTCCCAAAAACATGTACTTTAAAATACATGAGAGGAGGGTGGAATATGGTAATACAGTAATAAGGATGCCTATGCTTTGCCACTTGATTCTGTTCCTGTCATTAATAAACTCACGGAAATATTGAACTATGAATTAGTTTCTTAGTTCAAATTGTGATGCACTTAGAACAGGCTCAAGAATTGTCTTTCAAATGTCCAAAAGAAGGGATCATAAATATTGTACAGTAGTATTCTGATGAATACACGACTGCATATGCTCATGGCTGAGATCAACTAGCCGCGTGTTTAAATTGGAGCATAAGCTGTGCTCTGAATGGTAACCATAACACATAAATAACCTACTGTATTGTTTCACAACAGTCATAACGGCTGCACACATTGGACACCCAAGCCTCTACTATTCAGGACGGAATGTGGCATAGATGAACAAGATTTTGAATCGAGAACCTTGAATTGTGGAATACAACATTGATCTTATGTCCAGTCATTTTCCATCCACTGCTGCATGACAAAAAATACACCCCTATTGTAAACATCTCCTTTTCATTATTGGTCATTGATAATTCAGTCCCTATGAAATCCTCGATGTTACGTGGAAATGGATTTATGGAAACCAGAAAATAGTAATACAGCAAATAGAGCTAAACAACAACATACGGTCAATATTTTTACTACATTTCATATAGTTTGTATTTGTGTTATTTATTGCTCAATAATTATTGGATAAATAATATAATTTGCCCGCATAGCGTAATTGTCTGAAAGCAGTAATTAACTTTGAAAGCTCATGACAGATGCCGTGAGTGAATGCGTTGGTGAAAAAAAGGCATTAATGATGCGGCTATGCTGATGTGCATATGTGATGCAATGCATTTTTAAAAAGATTCTTAATTAAATGAAAAAAATATTTGATACTACTATGGTAGTTGTGCATAAGCACAAGGGACATCCTTCATAGCGCATAAAGTATGTCCTATAAAGAACGGCCAATGCCACAAACATCGCTTAATCTATATTTTTAATTTTAAGGCCACAGTGTTATTAAAAATGTGTTTATTGATGTTTTAATAAATCTGGTATATCGTCATCATCATCAGCCACGCTCAATCCACTGCTGCATGAAGGCCTCCCCAAGCCACTGCTAGTTCTCGTGTTGCCGCAACATCATAATCCACTTGGCACCTGAGCACGAACTGATTTTATGACTCCACCCTACTCAGTGGATGCCCTCTTCTCAGAAGCTGTCCATTCATTGGCCATCTCTCCATTATTTTTCTTGACCATTCTCCATCATCTCTTCCTGTGGGGTGTCCTGCCCAATCCTATTTATAGTTGCTTTTTGTATTTCTGGTTCACGACAGGTTATAAAGGTTTATTTCTTTTTCCTGATTTGGCACTGATAATTAGATATTTTTTCTTATAAAATTGTATATATGAGCCACACTTTTTTCTTTTGATTACACTTGGGTTTTTATTGTTTACCGTGATTTTAAAATTAATGTGACACAGTAATAGTTTATTGTTATTATGTATTGTCATAATTGTGTAAAATACAAATAGACTTGTTAATTATAGAATTAATGTCTCTGAATTTTTTTATGAGGATATTAAAAATAATAATATCGATGTGGTGAATGTTATCGTGATGACTCGTACAATGCCGATGCATGAACTGTTTTGAAAAAAATTGAGCATCCAGTTTTCAGTGTAGACATTGCACAAGGGTGATGCATATACATACACATTCCTCTTACAGTAACGATTTAAGGCATCACTTAACTACTTAAATGAACTGTTAAATACTATTTGAATTCTAGGTATTTTAACTTGTAAATTTCTTTACCCTTGTCTCACAAAATCTGTAAGTGATGTACATCAATGTATTTTAAAATGTTATTCTGTTATTAAAATCCCAACATTGGGATAAATACAAGCTCTACTATTGATGTAATTGCTCAAGGAAAGTGTTTTAAAATTTGTACGTTAAAGGCAAATACAATTCGAACACGTGGATGCATATATGCAAAAAGTGTATTACTTTATAACACAATGAATTGCACTGCTAAGGCGATCGAAAAATGATGTGCTTGCTTGTGTTAATGCCAGTAAGATACTCCTTTTCGTGATTTTACTATCCAGCCTTGTTACTGGAGTGTCTCTCCTTGTCCGGGCTGAATATTGTTAAGATGACATCTTCATGGTATCAGTCCTGTCATAAGATTGGTTTTATGTTCGTGCAGCCAAGTGAATATTGTCAAATACTGTGCAACGTAGCTTATATTATAGGAACAGAAGGCAGTGCCATGTGTTGTCCTTGATCCTTCGCTCACCTTTGAAGTACGCATTAACAAGGTCAACGAAAGCTGCCGTTTTAAATCCTTTATTAAATCCTTTATATTAAGTTCGCATGCTTGCTTGCTTGCGTGCTTGCGTGCTTGCTTGCTTGCTTACGACCGTGCAAATCTTTCGGTCGTTTTTTAACCCACTTCCCGTGATCCAATCGAGCTGACATTTTCCACACCGACTCGTTGTGCGAGACAATTAATGTTCGTGAAAAAAAAATTCCCAAAATTTTACACTGTTTAGGGAAAACAAATTAAATATTTAATTACCAATTGCTTAATACTGGCAGACAATTCCCAAAATTTTACACTGTTTAGGGAAAACAAATTAAATATTTAATTACCAATTGCTTAATACTGGCAGACAATTCCCAAAATTTTACACTGTTTAGGGAAAACTAATTAAATATTTAATTACCAATTGCTTAATACTGGCAGACAATTCCCAACATTTTACACTGTTTAGGGAAAACAAATTAAATATTTAATTACCAATTGCTTAATACTGGCAGACAATCATCTGACCCATAGGTGGCAGCCATCTCAAGCCAGAGGACGAGAAGACTCTAGCCGCCACGCATATAAAGGATTTATAGTGAAAAACTTTGTTTTTACGGGTTTACTTGTTTCATCTCAGAAATATAGCCGGGTTGTGCCCCATTCTCTCTCTGTTGGATGGTGAGAAGCTAGTCCACCACGCCTTGATTTTCTCTCGCATCGACTTCTCCAGTGCAGTTTTTTTTCCTGGCAATCTGTTAAATTGGCTTTAGCACGTGCGGAAATCGAGTTTTCACCCATATGTAAGCAATTTGAGTTCTCACCCGTATGTATACAACTGTGGCTGAGCACATTCTCCCCCCACATGTTCACGTCGGTGTCTGCCAAGTGTCTCACCTCAATCATATCCTGCGCATCTGTTCTTAAAGGACTTTTTCACTTCGACATACTTTTTTTAGCTGTGGGGTTTTTTGTGCGGTTTAATTTTATGTTTTTATTTTATTACTAGCCTCTGAGTGTTTGGCTTGTATGACGTAATATTACCTTGTAGCTAACGTCTACTGCAATGAAAGCTTCGTTTAACATGATGTTGTGTATCTTTTGTGTTAAATCTCTTGTAGGGTCAAGTCCTGTTCAGAAATGGAGAGCGTTTAGGAACTATAGAATTCATGCAGTTTCAAAGTAAGCACTTTTCATATCACGGAAAACAACTTCAGATGAAGCGTACATTTTGGTGATAGATATCATATCTGTTGAAAATGACTTCAAAACAAGTCAGTCCAGAAGGAAGTTTTTTTTTACGAAGTACCAAATATATGTGTTTGATGACTTATATATTTATTGTTTTGCCATTTTTATGACGCTAAAACAATTAACAGTTGTGCAGTGACTTAAATGATGTGGCTTTCTCTAATTAACATGGATGATGGCTCTGTGGATAGTTTTTCACCCAGAATGCCAATAAGGGCTGTGGCATAGTTAACCCATTTTTATTTCAGTTTAAACACTTGGGATGCGCTTTTCTCATACTGTAGTTCGCATATGTTAATTGGATATGTTTATTAAAAAGACACGTAAATAAAGCTTATAAAAAATGTTAAATCTATATCGCATACATATACCACAAAGCATTGAAATAATTGCAATTCGGAATGTAAGAAACAAGCGTATGTATACATTATACACAATATAAGCAATTATAACCATGTAAATTATGTAAATAGAATCCACAGACTAACAGGAATGAGGACTTGTGCATGTGGTGTGGTATGTGGTTTGTGGTGTGCGACTCCCACAGATACTAAGAGAGTAAAGGTCGGTGAGTACAATGCAGTTCCGGACACTCTGGAGCTCATCAACAGCACCATGCGTTTCCAAGGTATGGGCCACCAATAGTGAAACCTCTTGACCACATGCAGTCACTGCCAGGCCCATAGCCACCGGTGGGTTGCCCCCCCCCCCCACCCCACTATGAAGCAGTATCTCGTACCTTGCACTGCACCAGATCCCATCTCTTTTGCCCCCTCGCCCTCTGCTTGTTACTCCCTGTGCCTACCTACTCAATCTTGGCTGGCTACTTACTTGGTCTCAAGTATATTAAGATGTGCGTCACTTGCCAATCCACTGCTGGAAGGCTGGATGAAGGCCTCCCCTACACAGCACCAACAATGAGGGGTGTTTGATCAAACCTCACCATGCTGGTTAGTGCAGCTCTGTCGGTGAAGGGGGTGGATGGGGGGTGGATGGGGGGGATGGGGGTGGTGGATGGGGGTGGGGTGTACAGCTCCGGATTAGAACTCACCACTGATGTCAGAGATAACTGGGATTTGACTCTGGAGTCTGAGTTCAGACTGCAAAGCACCAACCGCTGCGTTGGTAATTTATATTTCCTGACAATGTAGAACATATTAAACCACTTTTAGGATAAACCACTTTTAGGAATCAAAGCAAAACAACTAATTTTATTAATTACACATAGGCACATTTGTCTGTTTTTGCATACACTTTAGAACACGAATTCTAAAGTGCCTATATCAGCAACACTGGGGATCTTTAATCATGTTTGTTTGATTGCTGTGTGGTCAGGTCCAGACCCACCGTGGGACAGGACCATCGTTCAGTCAAAGCTGCGAGAGGTGTATCTACCCCTCTACAGCATCTTGTCTGTACTCACTTGCTTAGGCATGTTCATGGCCTCTGCCTTCCTCTTCTTTAACATCAAGAACCGCAACCAAAAGTTAGTACCGCTAATTTACACTTCTACTCCATTGCAGAATCTTTGCGCGCAATCCACTTGCGGTATGTAATGTTTTTTTTACATATGTGCGCCTTTAGCTCATTGATGTGTTTTTGGATGTATCGTGTGTTGCTTGGCATGATGTTCGACGTGTTAGCAAAACGTCGAACATCGTGCCGAACAGCACGCACTACAGCCCATCAGAGAGCTATACAAAACAATTGCGATCACCTACGCAGAGGTATGTATTACATTGAAAGTAAAAATAGCGGGGATTTTGTGAAATAATTCTGTACGCATTTAAATGGATTGAATTTACCGTCAAAACTGTTGAGTAATGAATGGCATTCAAATGACATGCATTTCAATAGCTGTTGGTGCCTCATTGAGTTGATATTGGAGTCATCCATCACTTTCAAGGAGCAGCTACGAGCATGCTGCAAATAAACATCTGAGCAGTTATGAATACAATTAAAATTGTATCTAATTAATAATTTGTTGGAAATAATTCAGTGTAAAAAAAATGCATAATGTTGCCATTATGTGAAACATATTTTCAGATATGTTCACGATTTTGTTGCAGGTAATTGTCTCTGCTTCAATGCTTCATTTTTTTACCTTCACTCACTGATATCGATCATATAATAAGGACAATACTTGTAGCTCATTGCAAAGGATATAATGTCTGTTTTCTAGTGTACATTGAGACTGGAAGTGGATCAACTCACACAATTGATTGAATTTTCTTAGTTAGATTACTGTGGTTGGTTTTGTTTACCTATTTGCTCGGGTGCAGATCACGCAGAGAGGAAAAAGTGTCTGCCAAGGCAAAAGCAAAAATTAATCTTGGAGTCCTTAGGACCTAACTAACATGTTTGTCATTATGTCAACAGGCTGATAAAGATGTCAAGTCCCTACATGAACAACCTCATCATCCTGGGTGGAATGCTCTCCTACATGACCATCTTCCTCTTCGGCTTGGATGGGGCTTTGGTGTCCTCAGCAACGTTTGAGAACATCTGTGCTGTAAGTCCCCCATGCGTGGTCATTCTGGGGGGCTCAGAGTTCAGAGCAATGAGCCTGCACATTGAGATCCTGGGTTCAAATCAATGAACCCATCTATGATTAAACCAGATTCTTAGGTGGAGCAAGCTTACCAAAGCTCATATGGTATGGAGCTGCTGTCATGTAAATTCCATTCGGCTTAGGAAAGCAAAATTGAGTTTTTCATCAGCAGCAGCACCAGTGGTCTGGAACAGTCTGCCCACTGAAGTCTGCTCAGCTGTGACAATGGGTGCCTTTTGAGATCAGACTAAAAGGTAAATGTTTTCTTCTATTTTAGTTTCATTTAGTTTAAAATGTATCTGTGGCAACCACGCTTCCTTGTCAACCTTTTGCTGAATAAGGCTTTTTTTAAATCTTCGGTTAATTTATTGAGTTTATGGTGTTAGCCATATGGGCTGCACTGTTCATTACATTTCTGAATGCACTCTTTGTCAAAAGGACAATTGGGATAAATTAGGAACAAAATACCGAAAACAGTCTTTAAAAGAAAAGTTATTGCTTGAAATGTGAACCCACTGGCAGTTTTAATGATGCAGGGATTTTTTGTGTGTGTTATTTTTTTAATGTTAATTCATTTTCAATTTACCTCTTGCAATTTATAATTCAGCAAACAGTTTGCATATACAATAGAGGAAAACATTATCACAGAAAATGATGACAGTAAATGCTCACTTGGTATTGTGAAAGTGCTGCTCGAAATGAAATTGTAAAATTCCAATTGAAAAAGATAATAATGCAGCCAGTACAAACTGTCGTTTGTGCAGAAATCACAAATGGTTCCTAATTACTAAATAACGTCTCTGCATACACGCACAAAGACAAAGATGACACGTATACCTTTAGAATTTTGGAACAAGTATGTGGTTGTGAGGGTCTGAGTGTGGTGGTTGTGAGGGTCTGAGTGTGTGGTGGTTGTGAGGGTCTGAGTGTGTGGTGGTTGTTGTGAGGGTCTGAGTGTGTGGTGGTTGTGAGGGTCTGAGTGTGTAGTGGTTGTGAGGGTCTGAGTGTGTGGTGGTTGTTGTGAGGGTCTGAGTGTGTGGTGGTTGTGAGGGTCTGAGTGTGTGGTGGTTGTTGTGAGGGTCTGAGTGTGTGGTGGTTGTTGTGAGGGTCTGAGTGTGTGGTGGTTGTGAGGGTCTGAGCGTGGTTGTGGTTGTGAGGGTCTGAGTGTGGTGGCTGTTGTGAGGGTCTGAGTGTGTGGTGGTTGTGAGGGTCTGAGTGTGTAGTGGTTGTGAGGGTCTGAGTGTGTGGTGGTTGTTGAGAGGGTCTGAGTGTGTGGTGGTTGTGAGGGTCTGGGTGTGTGGTGGTTGTGAGGGTCTGAGTGTGTGGTGGTTGTGAGGGTCTGAGTGGGTGGTGGTTGTGAGGGTCTGAGTGTGTGGTGGTTGTGAGGGTCTGACTGTGGTTGTGGTTGTGAGGGTCTGAGTGTGGTGGTTGTTGTGAGGGTCTGGCTGTGGTTGTGGTTGTGAGGGTCTGAGTGTGTGGTGGTTGTGAGGGTCTGAGTGTGTGGTGGTTGTGAGGGTCTGAGTGTGTGGTGGTTGTGAGGGTCTGAGTGTGTGGTGGTTGTGACGGTCTGAGTGTGTGGTGGTTGTGAGGGTCTGAGTGTGTGATGGTTGTTGTGAGGGTCTGAGTGTGTGGTGGTTGTGAGGGTCTGAGTGTGTGGTGGTTGTGAGGGTTTGAGTGTGTGGTGGTTGTTGTGAGGGTCTGAGTGTGTGGTGGTTGTGAGGGTCTGAGTGTGTGGTGGTTGTGAGGGTCTGAGTGTGTGATGGTTGTTGTGAGGGTCTGAGTGTGTGGTGGTTGTGAGGGTCTGAGTGTGTGGTGGTTGTGAGGGTCTGAGTGTGTGATGGTTGTTGTGAGGGTCTGAGTGTGTGGTGGTTGTGAGGGTCTGAGTGTGTGGTGGTTGTGAGGGTCTGAGTGTGTGGTGGTTGTTGTGAGGGTCTGACTGTGGTTGTGAGGGTCTGAGTGTGTGGTGGCTGAGAGGGTCTGAGTGTGTGGTGGTTGAGAGGGTCTGAGTGTGTGGTGGTTGTGAGGGTCTGAGTGTGTGGTGGTTGTGAGGGTCTGAGTGTGTGGTGGTTGTGAGGGTCTGGGTGTGTGGTGGTTGAGAGGGTCTGGGTGTGTGGTGGTTGTGAGGGTCTGAGTGTGTGGTGGTTGTGAGGGTCTGAGTGTGTGGTGGTTGAGAGGGTCTGAGTGTGTGGTGGTTGTGAGGGTCTGAGTTTGTGGTGGTTGTGAGGGTCTGAGTGTGTGGTGGTTGTGAGGGTCTGAGTGTGTGGTGGTTGTGAGGGTCTGAGTGTGTGGTGGTTGTGAAGGGTCTGAGTGTGTGGTGGTTGTGAAGGTCTGAGTGTGTGGTGGTTGTGAGGGTCTGGGTGTGGTGGTTGAGAGGGTCTGAGTGTGTGGTGGTTGTGAGGGTCTGAGTGTGGTGGTTGAGAGGGTCTGAGTGTGTGGTGGTTGTGAGGGTCTGAGTGTGTGGTGGTTGTGAGGGTCTGAGTGTGTGGTGGTTGTGAGGGTCTGAGTGTGTGGTGGTTGTGAGGGTCTGGGTGTGTGGTGGTTGTTGTGAGGGTCTGAGTGTGTGGTGGTTGTGAGGGTCTGAGTGTGTGGTGGTTGTTGTGAGGGTCTGAGTGTGTAGTGGTTGTGAGGGTCTGAGTGTGTGGTGGTTGTGAGGGTCTGAGTGTGTGGTGGTTGTTGTGAGGGTCTGAGTGTGTGGTGGTTGTGAGGGTCTGAGTGTGTGGTGGTTGTTGTGAGGGTCTGAGTGTGTGGTGGTTGAGAGGGTCTGAGTGTGTGATGGTTGTGAGGGTCTGAGTGTGTGGTGGTTGTTGTGAGGGTCTGAGTGTGTGGTGGTTGTGAGGGTCTGAGTGTGTGGTGGTTGTTGTGAGGGTCTGAGTGTGTGGTGGTTGTGAGGGTCTGAGTGTGTGGTGGTTGTTGTGAGGGTCTGAGTGTGTGGTGGTTGTGAGGGTCTGAGTGTGTGGTGGTTGTGAGGGTCTGAGTGTGTGGTGGTTGTGAGGGTCTGAGTGTGTGGTGGTTGTTGTGAGGGTCTGAGTGTGTGGTGGTTGTGAGGGTCTGAGTGTGTGGTGGTTGTTGTGAGGGTCTGAGTGTGTGGTGGTTGTGAGGGTCTGAGTGTGTGGTGGTTGTGAGGGTCTGAGTGTGTGGTGGTTGTTGTGAGGGTCTGAGTGTGTGATGGTTGAGAGGGTCTGAGTGTGTGGTGGTTGTGAGGGTCTGAGTGTGTGGTGGTTGTGAGGGTCTGAGTGGGTGGTGGTTGTGAGGGTCTGAGTGTGTGGTGGTTGTGAGGGTCTGAGTGTGTGGTGGTTGTGAGGGTCTGAGTGTGTGGTGGTTGTGAGGGTCTGAGTGTGTGGTGGTTGTGAGGGTCTGAGTGTGTGGTGGTTGTGAGGGTCTGAGTGTGTGGTGGTTGTGAGGGTCTGAGTGTGTGGTGGTTGAGAGGGTATGAGTGTGTGGTGGTTGTGAGGGTCTGAGTGTGTGGTGGTTGTGAGGGTCTGAGTGTGTGGTGGTTGTGAGGGTCTGAGTGTGTGGTGGTTGTGAGGGTCTGAGTGTGTGGTGGTTGTGAGGGTCTGAGTGTGTGGTGGTTGTGAGGGTCTGAGTGTGTGGTGGTTGTGAGGGTCTGAGTGTGTGGTGGTTGTGAGGGTCTGAGTGTGTGGTGGTTGTGAGGGTCTGAGTGTGTGGTGGTTGTGAGGGTCTGAGTGTGTGGTGGTTGTGAGGGTCTGAGTGTGTGATGGTTGAGAGGGTCTGAGTGTGTGGTGGTTGTGAGGGTCTGAGTGTGTGGTGGTTGTGAGGGTCTGAGTGTGTGGTGGTTGTGAGGGTCTGAGTGTGTGGTGGTTGTGAGGGTCTGAGTGTGTGGTGGTTGTGAGGGTCTGAGTGTGTGGTGGTTGTGATGGTCTGAGTGTGTGGTGGTTGTGAGGGTCTGAGTGTGTGGTGGTTGTGAGGGTCTGAGTGTGTGGTGGTTGTGAGGGTCTGAGTGTGTGGTGGTTGTGAGGGTCTGAGTGTGTGGTGGTTGTGAGGGTCTGAGTGTGTGGTGGTTGTGAGGGTCTGAGTGTGTGGTGGTTGTGAGGGTCTGAGTGTGTGGTGGTTGTGAGGGTCTGAGTGTGTGGTGGTTGTGAGGGTCTGAGTGTGTGGTGGTTGTGAGGGTCTTAGTGTGTAGTGGTTGTGAGGGTCTGAGTGTGTGGTGGTTATGAGGGTCTGAGTGTGTGGTGGTTGTGAGGGTCTGAGTGTGTGGTGGTTGTGAGGGTCTGAGTGTGTGGTGGTTATGAGGGTCTGAGTGTGTGGTGGTTGAGAGGGTCTGAGTGTGTGGTGGTTGTGAGGGTCTGAGTGTGTGGTGGTTGTGAGGGTCTGAGTGTGTGGTGGTTGTGAGGGTCTGAGTGTGTGGTGGTTGTGAGGGTCTGAGTGTGTGGTGGTTGTGAGGGTCTGAGTGTGTGGTGGTTGTGAGGGTCTGAGTGTGTGGTGGTTATGAGGGTCTGAGTGTGTGGTGGTTGTGAGGGTCTGAGTGTGTGGTGGTTATGAGGGTCTGAGTGTGTGCTGGTTGAGAGGGTCTGAGTGTGTGGTGGTTGTGAGGGTCTGAGTGTGTGGCGGTTGAGAGGGTCTGAGTGTGTAGTGGTTGAGAGGGTCTGAGTGTGTGGTGGTTGTGAGGGTCTGAGTGAGCGGTGGTTGTGAGGGTCTGAGTGTGGTGGTTGTGAGGGTCTGAGTGTGTGGTGGTTGTGAGGGTCTAAGTGTGTGGTGGTTGTGAGGGTCTGGGTGTGTGGTGGTTGAGAGGGTCTGAGTGTGTGGTGGTTGAGAGGGTCTGATTGTGTGATGGTTGTGAGGGTCTGGGTGTGTGGTGGTTGTGAGGGTCTGAGTGTGTGGTGGTTGAGAGGGTCTGAGTGTGGTGGTTGAGAGGGTCTGAGTGTGTGGTGGTTGAGAGGGTCTGAGTGTGTGGTGGTTGAGACGGTCTGAGTGTGTGGTGGTTGTGAGGGTCTGAGTGTGTGGTGGTTGTGAGGGCTTGAGTGTGTGGTGGTTGTGAGGGTCTGAGTGTGTGATGGTTGAGAGGGTCTGGGTGTGTGGTGGTTGTGAGGGTCTGAGTGTGTGGTGGTTGTGAGGGCTTGAGTGTGTGGTGATTGTAGAGTTATGCTTGTGTTGGGGTGATTTGTCTCTCTATTACAGCTACGCACGTGGACACTCGCCGTGGGTTACACCACCGCCTTTGGGGCCATGTTTGCCAAGACTTGGAGAGTTCATGCCATTTTTAAGAATGTCAAGATGAAGAAAAAGGTGAATACTACTTTTTTTATATTTCCTGTTGATGTTTCAGGGGAGATTATTTTGATTCACTTACAGATTGTGAAGGGGAGATTACAGTAGTTCACAGTTTCTACGTTCGTCATGGAAACTGCTCGTGCGTATTTGTGGTTAATATTTTTTTGAATATCAACTCACTATCCAAGCTATCATTTGTATCATAATTTATTATATAGCATAAATTTCCTTCATGCATACTTCCAAATAAATGAAGAATATGGTCTAAACATCAAACATCTTTTGTATTAGCGCAATGTTTCCATGTCTCTTGCAGCTAAGGGTACCCATCAAAACAAAAGTGAGGAACATAATGAGGAAATATTTCATTAATTCCCTACATGAATTATTAATATTTCTCTCTTTACTGCTATGTTGTCCAACTGGAAATTCTATCAAAGTAGATAGGTATCTTGAAATACAATAGATTATAATTATTAACATAGGAATTTATGTAGATTTTTTTTTTAATTTTGTTTATTCAAATATGTTTTCAACATTCAGAATAGTATATTACTTTTTACTCGCGGTTGCTGAGCTCAAGCCCACAGGCCTAAACGTGTCAAGCAGCCAGCAACAAACTGCACTTTTATTGAGCAAGATTTTAAGAACTTGGGAAAAAGGAGACCATGGAAGGAGATTACAGAGTTGAATCAAAGAAATAAACAGGAAAGAATTGTGTTGACCTGCAGTGTGGTGGCAGGCCAGCGTGTCAGACGCTTTGCAGTAGCTGGGTAATTTAATCGGGTTGCTCTGCAATATCCCGTGTGTACCCGGTGCTGCAGCGGCGTCACTGACAGCCATTATTGAGCTGAGTCGCTGAGCGCAGCGATGAGTTGGGAATTGAGAAGAACTGTCAGTGATTGTTGTGCTTCTTCATTCATCGTTATGCTGTCTCGCAAACTAAATGCATGCAGGGATTGTAATAGAAATCCCTAAGCTTTGCACCACCGGCATACATTGGACTATAGACAGAACCAAGCTGCTTATTTTCTTGTCAATTAGAAGTGCGATGTATAAAGAGTCATCGCTTGAAATGACTTGCAGCTGTTCACTAGCTTAATTAGTGTGCTATACACGAAGCAGATTTGATAGCGCTTGGTGGTTTAGCGGCCACCTTGCATATACACAGGCGCTGTCAACTACCGCGCTGGGCTATGTCGTTAGCAAAGGGCGGTGCAGCAAAATCTATTGCTTTATAGTACAGTATTTCTATGCTCTGATGTGTATGCCCCCTACCCACCACCCCGCCTTCAGCTACCCCACTGACCAGAGGGGAGAGGTAGGCAGGAGCCAGTTTATCGAAGATCGTGAAAACTAAACTAAAATGGACATCACAGTATATATAGATATTTTAGATCAACCAGAGGCTGTGATATGTTATCTAAACATATGGGCATTGACATGTGACGTTTTCTGTTTTAATTATTTAAATAAACATTACTTTCCAATTATGTGGCGAGCATGTGAAGAGCAAAATCACTTTGTATTTATTTCACTGTGTGACAGGACGGCACACATCTGCCAGAACTCGCTTCGGTCACTCATTAATTAATCCAAATTCAGCAAATGTCCTCCGTTTGACCATAAATGTCACTCAAAAGGCCATTAATCCCATTAAAATGTCCTATGAGTTATATCACTTCCTTAATTCTAACACAAGTGGGGAATGATGTACAAGTACTTACAAATGGCATGTGACATGAAAGTGAACAACTAGACACTAAACCTTTTTAATATTACCATATAATAGATTGTAGCATTATGAATCCTTTAATCATTTTTAATTATGAAGTGGTACATTATAACATGCAGTCTTCCAGGTTAAGCTCACCAGGTTAGGCTAACCTGGAAGATTACACTTGAAATACAAGTGGTAGTAGTATCTACATGCTAATTTGCTATAATTGGAGTAAATAATTTACAGCCCTTTGAAAATCTACTGATGGATGAAGGCATTCCCACAATGTTAGTCATGAGGTTTGTTTGACCATATCTTACAACACAGGTCGGTGCAGTTTGGTTAAAGGGGCTGTCCAAGACTGGTTCAGATATCATTTGCTTTGCTGTGGCTGGGAATCCAACTCATGTCGCTAAATGTATAGCACAATGTGCCAACCATCGCAGCATCGCTCAACCCCCCTTTTTATAATCCAATAAATGTATTGAAGTAATACAGACACATATTGCAGTCTTGTTTTTAAAACAGCATTATGGTATTTAGGATTAGTTAGCCTTTTTTAAACGTACTTATCAAAATATAAGGCCATGCCTGTAATAAATATCTGTCACACATGTCTTGTATACATCTAAAGCCAACCACTTTTGCCATGGGGCACTACTCAGCAGTTGGTGGAGTATTTTTCTCTCTCTGCCTATTGCTGTGTAGTGGTTTCTACGGAGGCACACATTTGAATTTGGAGGCAACACGTTTATTCTCACACCCCAACAGGGTAACTACATAAACGTACAACTGGTGAACTAGACCACAACGGTTAACTACATAACCGGGTCAGTCAGTAACATTCTGACTGACACATGATGCCGAGCGAAGACTGAAGATCGAAGAGACGTAGTACCGAGGGTTGATTCCAGAAAACAGCCGCAATCGCTCTCGAGACTTCCCCTTTATGCTCCCGAGAGGCGTGGCCTCGCTCCACCCTCGGCCGCGCCCCCTTCTGGATCTTACCAGAAGGATCTCGTCCAAGCATCACGTGTCCCTCGAGCCCCCTTTTGGGCCCCCTTGCTACCCTGCTCTGGTCACGTGCCCTCTCGGGTTCACCCAGACTGCCATGTCCTCACTTGCCCTCTCTCAGACCATCACCAGAACTATAACCCCTAGGGCCCGCTTGCATGCCATATCCATTCTGGTGCCAGAGAGAGGCTCAAGACGTCCAGCTCCACTCTCGTGAAAGTAGCTGGCACTAGCCACTATAGTTACTCCCTTTACGTCACTACACATGGATATACATAAACAATGTGCTCTACACATGTTAATATTTTAAACATGTTAATGAGAGGAGAGCGAATCACATTAACACATTTTCTTTCTCTAGTCGCATCCAATACCCTCACGTAACATTCCACTCCATCCTTCCATTCCAACCTTTGTCTTCCTCTACTCATTCTGCCCTGCACTGGTGACATGTCCATATACCTACTCGATGCATCTTATTTGTCTCTTCTCAACACATGCCCAAAATATCTAATTCTCGCCTTCCTGACATTCTCAAGAATATTAGTAACCCCTGCTGAAGCGTTAACTACTTCATTCTTTCTACTTTCCCTGAGACATATTTCCAACATCCACCTTATAATTATCATCCCTCTCCTTTCAATATTATTTTTAAAGATAAACATTTCATGTTAATTTAATCAGGGATCCATTTTGAAACTGAGTGCCTTATATATCTATTATTGGTATCTCCTATTTAATAGTATTATATTTGGTGTATCCACAATTGTATATACTTATGAAGTATGTTATTGTATGAACATTGCAATCATTAACTTTTTTATTTTAATTGTTCAATGTAACATTTATATTTACTCATATTCCGGAGCTGGCAGAAAGGCAGTGTCCACTCATACATTTTTTGACTAAAAAAGGCCAATCTGTCCATCAACCAATTTTGTGTTTTAATCACTGAAAATCAGTGGAAAACTGTAGTTATTGAGTAGGCAGCCAGTGTAACTGCAATAAAGGCCAAAAGCCAGAGCGGCCCAGGTAGCAGGCTACAATAAGTATAACCCGTAAAAACAAAGTTTTTCACTATAAATCCTTTATATGCGTGGCGGCTAGAGTCTTCTCGTCCTCTGGCTTGAGATGGCTGCCACCTATGGGTCAGATGATTGTCTGCCAGTATTAAGCAATTGGTAATTAAATATTTAATTTGTTTTCCCTAAACAGTGTAACATTTTTGACATTTTTTTTTCACGAACATTAATTGTCTCGCACAACGAGTCTGTGTGCAAAATGTCAGCTCGATTGGATCACGGGAAGTGGGTTAAAAACGACCGAAAGATTTGCACGGTCGTAAGCAAGCAAGCACGCAAGCATCCAAGCAAGCAACCAAGCGAACTTAATATAAAATTTAATAAGTATAACCCGTAAAAACAAAGTTTTTCACTATAAATCCTTTATATGCGTGGCAGCGAACTTAATATAAAGGATTTAAAAATATATTCGCCTGTGGAAGACGCGGGGATCGATCCCGCGACCTTTGGCATGGGAAGCGAGGGCGCTACCAACTGCGCTACTCCGCCACGGCATGTGGAGGGGTTATGCTCTGGGCTCTTATACTGTGACGTTCAGCCAAAGCGATGAATGAGTTCTATTTGAATATATGTAAAATAAATTGTTTTTGCCTAAAAAGAACATTAATTGTCTGGCACAACGAGTCTGTGTTGAAAATGTCAGCTCGATTGGATCACGGGAAGTGGGTTAAAAAACGACCGAAAGATTTGCACGGTCGTAAGCAAGCAAGCACGCAAGCAAGCAAGCACGCAAGCAAGCATGCGAACTTAATATAAAGGATTTTAAAAAAGGGGGTGAAATTGCACAGTGGGCACTATTTATTTCCCATGTCAACCACACTGTGCCACTGGATTAAGTTCCTTGTATTTGAATTTTTTTTATAAGAATGTTTACGAAAGATTTCCCCTATCCTCCTCCATTTATAGTATCGACTTTACAGCGTAGTGCGTTAAACTCCATTGCACACAGATAATCAAGGATCAGAAGCTGTTTGGAATTGTGGGCGGGATGCTGCTCATCGACTTGGTGATCCTCATCTCCTGGCAGGTGCTGGATCCACTCAAGCGCATTGTGGAGATATACCCTCGAGAGGTGAGGATCGTGTTCCCAACACTCTGCCCTGCCACCTGCCGCAGCGTCCCTGCGGTGATGTGTAAACAAAGTGTAAGCGTTGCGCTCACCCTGCACCCTCTTGCTCTGAGCTCAAGAACGATGTTTAAGTTCGGAAAAACAAATCGACAGTCACGAGTGGGGTTTGTATTTTTTTCAAAGGGAGCAAGTGGGTTTCTGTGAGTGTTTGGTGCTTGTGTCTGCTGAGTAGAAGATAACTGTGCTCGACTAAAACAAATGGAAGTGTTCACCTTCAGTATGCTGATGTAGACATAAGTGCACAATTATTGCGTCATCTTTGCGTGGCATTATACAATCAGTGAGGGCCAGACATAGCCATTATTATAAAGAAAACACTAATTCTAGACAAGTTGTAGTCAAACCTTTGCTTTTAACAGCACAGCATTCAATAACGATCACTAGGCCACCAGCGGTGTAGCAGTGGTTTAATTGCTGAAACTAATTGTTGACATTGTGGTCGTGTATGCACACAGCCCAGTTGGTGGATAATAGAATGATATAATTTTGCCAGTATTTGGGTTGCGTTGAGACTTACGCTGGGATGGACGCTGCCTTGAAAGGGTTTGACATTGTGACTGGACAATAGTCACCAGAGGCGTAGCTAGGGGGGGCAGGGGGGTACATATGTCCCCGGGCGCCAAGGTAAAGGGGCGCCAAAATGAGGCTTACAACGTTACATTATAACTTATTGCGGCGGGCGCGGCAGCCTGAAACTACTGCACAAATCTACACCTCAACCTAAAAGTTTATATATCCCGCCACACACAGCCTACATGTCATGTAATTACATTTTGGTACGCGCACCTATTAAGAACTTACATGGAAGAACGTCCCAAACAACAGACAGGTGCAGTCTTTCAGCCTTAGTTACTGGCCTGTTTTTTGGTGGCGGAAACTACGACGCTTTATGAAGAGCGTATTTTATCGACTTCAACAGGAGATGTCAACACGGTTTTTACGACTAAAAGACTTGAACACAAAATTTGGATTTCTGCTGGACGTCAAAACTCTTCTATCCGACACAGATGTCGATGCAATTCGTCGAAATTGCACAGATTTTGGAAATTTCTATGACACTGACATCAATGGCCACGAACTTTTCACAGAAATTGGAGATTGCAAAATGCTGCTCAGTAACCGGAATGAAGTTCTACCAGAAACTCCTTTGGATCTTCTTGGTTTTATTGTGTTTTATGGAGACGACATATTTCCAAATTTACGAATTTCACTCCAAATTTTATTAACAATAGCAGTTTCAATTGTAAGCTGTGAGCGGTCGTTCAGAAAATTGAAACTTAGTTTGTCGTATTTGCGTGCTGAAAGAGAAACATTGAAAAAACAGATTTTGATTACGTGATTGACCAGTTTGCGACAGTGAAATCAAGAAAAAATAATCTTTTGTAGTCTATGTCAACCAGTCTACGACAGTGACTGAGTGAGCCATGTAATATAATTTCTATACATTTGCTTCTTTAAATACAATGTTTCATTAAAATTTAAATTGTTATTCCTTATTCGATGTAAGAGTAAAATGTGATTAAACGGGGGGGAGGGGGGCGCCAATTTTATAGTTCGTCCCCGGGCGCAAAATATCCAAGCTACGCCTCTGGTAGTCACTGAAGTTCAAACTAAAGTAACATCTTGTAATGTTCTATCTCGCTGACGGCCAACGCGCATTCTCAAGAGCTCATGAAATGCTCACCAGAGCAGTGTCGGTGTCTGGCCGCTTGCTACTAATGGGGCTCATTTATTTGTTGTTGTCCCCTCGCTGGACAATTGTTGCTCCTGTCCAATAGTGGCCTCCAAAGTCTTTAGAGATGCCTTCTCTTTATACTGTCTTCTGCTTATATTTACTTATCTCATAATCCAGTCGTTTCCACGAGTTTTCCCTTCCCATTTACCATTAATGTAATTTGCTTTAACACTATAGTGATCCCAGTTCTGCTTTAATTTAGTTAGACTTCAGAGTTATGTTTTTTGTTTGCATTATGACTGCAGGCATTGTGGTCTATGCAAACATGACTTCTTGTAAAAAAAGGTGTCAGTTTTGTTGCCCGATTTAAGGGTAAAAAACCAATTATCTTAGTTAGACTTGTGAGACAAACGATTTCAGGTTAAATATTATGATGTTGAAAATAATATACACTTTTTGCAAGTGTTTTGTTTCCACGTGGAAAAATGTAAGCACAATTTAATTGCTGCATTTTGGGATAAATGTGTTGCTTTATTCTATAATGTATTTTCTGACCTACTTTAAATTACAAAACTCATATTTATTATGCTGTAACTTCAGAATCAATCATTACAAAATGTATAACTGTATTAATCAATTAGCAAAATAAATCATGTAATTTTATATTATATATTGATTCGTAATAAAAGTTCAATACAACTACATCTATCTACAAAAAGTAGTTGCTCATTATGGGCTCGCGTGTATTTAACTTTGGCTGTTTCTTAAGCAGCTGGTGACTGTTGGGAAGTGGTGCTAACTATTGTGTCACTGAGTTGTCTAAGCTTAGGCGATAATTGCTGAAGCTCTCAGCCCATGAATAATTTGTCAAGGCTTTATATTAACAGTCTTGTTCCCATACATGATTTAAATAAACACATTGATACAATTCCAGTCATTCTAAATCCACCAATGGACGAAAACTCGCATGCCAAGATGGTCATGGAGATTTATAAACCATACTTCACGACGCTGGCCAGTGTGAGTTGTTGAAGGTGGGGTATGGCAGAACCAGTTCTAATACCACTCGCTAACCACTGCACAACCACTGCACCCCATAGGATTAGTAAGCCTTCTGCGTATACCTAATGTATATATCCACATGCATGAAAAATAGATGCGTATACTGTATAAGGTCCGTGCCAAATTCGTTTTTTACACCTTTTGAAATATTTTTTTTAACGAATGTCTTCAAGCAAGATCTGGGCTGGGTAAATTGTTACATAGCACTCTGCCAATCCCAGCACAAATCTTTAAGTGACTCGCAGTCCCATTGTCAGACTTGATGACAATCACATTTCAGATGGTAATACCCCATTATTGTATTTATTTTCCAAACAAAATCAAATAATATCTGAGCACAGGAAATGTAAAAAAAATATTACAAATCAAGATTTTTTATTATTATTACAAGATACTTAACCTTCCATATAAAATGCATCCATTGATTTATAATATCCTGTTGACCTATTTGCATATGTTAAATATGTTTGTGAATATTCAAGTTAACAATGGTAACTTAAAAACACTCCAAAACAACGTAAATAATGTGCCAATATTATATTTCCAAACCTTGTGGCATCAGCAAGATGAGTCTTGCGGTATTCTGTGGTTGGTTAAGTGTTGATATGTGGCTTGTCTTTGTGTTGCCAGTAGACTGATTTCAAGGAAATATATATTGTCACAGTAAATTACTTCTATCCAGTTTAATAATGAAATGAAACCCCGGTTTTCCTCAGGCATAATGTGGACTGTACTTTATATCTACCTTTTGTTCATTTATTAGAACAGTATTATTGATGGTGTTTGTAAAAAAACATTAAAGTGCAGTTAAGGCAATATATTTCACGTAAAATTGCCATAATGGTCGAATGTAAAATGTGTAGCAATATGCCAAACATTAAGATAAAAAATATATAATAGTATCTTATGGCTACATTTGGTTATGAGAATTGTTCATAAACTTACCGGCGAGCTGATTTAATAGTAGGATTAAAATGTCTTTACACACGCCAATTTTATTTGTTTGTCTTTGTCGAGTTGTGGAGGGTCTTAAACAACACATATTTGTACGTAGCATAACCCAAAAATATATTATGAACCTCTAATGCAAATTTTATATGAAAATGTAAAAGTGGCTGCTATACCATTTCCAAAACATATCCTGTCCCTGATTGTGTGTAGTTATGCAGCGAACACAGATGAGCAAGATGCTGCGAGCAGAACCAATATATATCAATGACACTACAGCAATTTGTACATTATGCTTGGTAAGTGTCAGGGTGTGTAATACTTAGTTTAGTTTTGGTTAATCTGGATGGATTTTTACTCTAATGAATAAGTATTGTTCAGGACCAATCAGCTGGGTTTATAGATGTTTATTTTAACAAGATTAAAGTTCCATTGCATGGAATAGTGGATAGATGTGGAAATACTTCCAAGATTAGTTCCAAATGAGAAGACTGTAGAAAAGCAATTAAAGTCCCAAAAACATTGATTTATTGATGGCCTTAACAAATCATTCAATTGGCATTTTGAGCACACTGATTACCCCCGATCAGTACGAGTAATGCTCTATCAGGGGTACTTCCTGCTTTGGGTCTATAGTTTTATGGCTGACATTTGAGCTTCTTTTACAATGTGGACTTTTGCTATGAAGCAATTAATTGTTGTGTATTAGGCGGCTATTCCCCTGGTTGTTACTTAGTATCACAATTAATTTTGCGCTGCAGTGCCTTGTGGTTGCTCGGGATATATACCCATCATCAAATCCATGATGGAATAAGTAGCTTCATCACAAGTCCATGCTTTCAACAAAGCTTCTTGGAATTTGCTACAACAACAAACATCTGATGTGTGCTTTACAATCAAAGTAAAAAAAAACAGCGGCTGCTCTATGCTTTAAGCCATGCCGCAGGCAAGCTCCTGAACTGACGAGACCTCTGAGCACACATCTCAAGGTCACTTGGCTTGTTTTGGCTAATAAAGTCTGAAGCCCCCAGTGATTACTTTTCATGTGACCTTGGTTATTATTTTATCGAAGGTATAATACCGTGTAAATTAAAGTAATAAAGCCTATGGTCAGAAAAGGCATATTGTACAGGCTTATGGCACATATGTCCTTTCTGCGTTTGTGATTATGTTAACGGGATATCTTACAGCAAATATTAATTGAAAATGAGTAATCTTGATTTGAAGCTTTTGTGACTGCAGGAATTTCTACTCTTTG